CCCCCCCCCCAGTATTGACACCCCTGGGGTCATCAGCAGAGTGTCACAGCTCTTCAAAGCTCACCCCGACCTCATCGTGGGCTTCAATACCTTCCTGCCACCTGGATACAAGATCAAGGTCCAGAAACCTGTTGCTGGGTGAAAAAGAAAAAGTGTTCTTTGCTACAGAATTCATATTGAATTTGCTTGTGGTGAAGCATTTTTAAGGCTGCCATTATCATGCACTCTGATTTTAGAATTATTTTTCCTTTCAATTTATTTAATTTTTCTATTGTATTCGATTACCCAGGATATACAGTTATCTACATTCATTCTATATTTGTTTTATTATAACCTATTACTTTATCATTCGTATGACTATTTCAATCAAGCTATACTGTATTAAATACAAACTATGTCAACGTATACTTTCATAAAGCTGTGTTTTTTTGGCTTACTAAGCTGATTTATCGGTAATTTAATGTTACTCGTTTTCCATTAAGCATTTGTTGAAATCACAGTTTGACTGTCTTGTATACTGTCAGGCATTTATTGAGAATAAAAGACGGGTATGAATAAAAAGAGTATCGTAAAGACAAAAAAAATAAAGAAAACGTACAGTATGGAGAGATAAGAAGTTAAAACAAAATCAATAGGTGAACTACAATGGGTGAAGTATGAATCAGGAATAAGATCAGTTGTTGTTTTATTTATATTTAATAATCCAGACAAACTCTGTGTTGTCTAGACAAAAATGTATTTCAAGCTACGACACATCCGACTCTCAATCTAACCTGAACCAAATTCACCTCATTTCAGGGCTAGATAATGAATACCAGTCATTTCGGCTGACAGCTGAAGGTCCAAAGCATCACTTTCCTCTTGAAATGCAGAGGTGGCGGCTCAGGGAACACTCCCACACTGCAGCGTACTTAACAAGTACTGTGAATTTGACTGTTGGGTTTCCCACCACACCAAAGTGAGCAGTGTAAGCAACGGTGTTAAAAAAGGAGTACCCACAAAACGATGTGTACTCCCAGTGTGTTGAAACACTGCAACCGTGAAGCATGCTGGGAGCTGAATTCAGCAGCATGTGGGCATTTCTCTCTCAACAATGCTTGTTCTTGGGTGTGGTACGATGTCCTCGGGGGAAACCATTGCTCTTTGTATGTTGCATTATCCCTGTATGGCACTGCGTCACAGGCCCTGAATCCTACACCTGATGGTATGTTCACAGAACAAGAGCGATTCATTCGAGATCCAAAACCTCTAATCTTCCTCCTAAAATTAAGATGTTGAAACCAGGGAAACAAACCTCGAATCAAGAATTCTGTTTATTGATGCTACTGCTGAGCCTTTGACTGCATAGATCTGGAAGCAAGTATAAGTTTGAAATCTTTGAAACTTTACATTTTAACCACATGAGACTTAACTTAGTAGTTTTTGAACTGATGGGGACGTTCATGAATGCACAACCTAATATCAAGAACGCCTCAATTCTTCAAATTGAGAATTTGTAATTAGACAGAAATGTAAAATTGTGGACAGCTCTTTGACAAATCAACTGTGAATAAGTTTCTCTTCATAAAGTATTTTTTTTTTTGCATCTGCAGGAAAGTGTTCAAGGATCACAAAGTCAGCCTCCCACCAGAATGGAGCTGCTCCATCGTGTATGAATGGATTTACTAACCTTCTAGAAGGAGCAGTCTCATTATGTGTGTGTTTTCATAACTGTAGTCTACAGAAGAGGGTTCATCAAAACTACAATCATAGAAACAAGCAACGTTCCCGATTTCACCATTGTGTTGCCTTCGGAATAGCAAAAGCAACGTTTTCAAAAGATTTTTACTGCTCATCTTAACGAATCTATTTAATTTCTCTTAACTTTTCTTTAAGTGCATTTAGTGTGATTGTTTGATAGCAAGTGATTAAAGCAGATGTTTACCGAACAACCCAACCTTAAGGTGAAGAGAAAAGGCATCTCTTCCATTACTTTCATTAATGGTTTAAGTAGAGCATTAGCCACTCTTAACAGTGATAATTGTTCCAGTCTATTTTCATTTAATTGTATTACAGTTGCATCTACGGAATACCACCCACCGCCGAAACTGCTTACAAAGGTATCTCGAGCAAAGCTTCTTTTAAACCGCAGTAAGAGATGAAATTAATGTCAACAAATTAAAGAAAATCTTCTGAATAATGCGTGTTAAGATAAGTATTATCTTGTGGTGTGGTAACTTGAACTAAGTGGTTATGAAATTAAAACAGTATTTAAAAAAGGCTTTAGTTATTTTATAGATGCACAAATACACACCAAACAATTTGCATTTATTTTAACAATTTATATTTTATATTTATGATTCTATATTTAATATTTATTAAACATATCTGCTGCAATGTATGCACATATAAAATGCAAGGAAGGGCCAGCACAATGATATTTTATTATATTTTAATATATATTATAATTCATATAAATAAAAGGTTTATGTGGGGGAGAAGCTGACGAGCAAAATGAATTAGGGCAAAGACAAATACTGAGGCATTGTTGGAGTGAACGTTACCTTTATGATATTTGACAAGTGCAATTAATGTACAGACAGTGGTGGAAGAAGTACTCATATTTTACCTATAAATAAAAGCAGTCATAACATCTTGTTTATATGTTTACTTAGTAAGTAAATGTAACGAAGTAAAACCAAAATACTAAGTATGAAAATATCAAAGTAAAAGTTCTTATAATACAGAATGACCCGTTTCAATACATTTTCAAAATATTATATGTGTATACATATATTATATAGATCTCATTGTATTATTACATTATTATCATTGACATGTTAGCAGCATTGTAATGATGTAGCTGAGTCTAATTAAAATGAAGCCTGACTGACAGGTTAAAATTATAATGCATCATATTTTATTTAACTTGTTTTTGTATATTCAATCCTGATTATGCCAACTCACTACAGCTGTCCACAAAATGTAGAAGTGGAGTAGAAGAATAACACCTAAATAAAGAACAAGTACTGAAGCACGTCAGCTGAGTAAATGTACTTGATTACTTTCCGCCACTGTTCCCAGTCCTCTGCTCCCCCAGTACAGATGTTGAGTTTAGACGATAGTCATGGAGACTCTTCTGTTGTTTCTCTGGCGCTGCCTCGGTTTTAGCGGGTGATATTCAAAATAAAATGACGCGTGTACTAGTGTGCGCCAATGCCAACGGAGGGGGGCGTCTCCAACTATTTTGTTACAAACACGAATCCGGAGTAAGGAGTCTTTTTCCTGGGTATGTAACAGCTGGTTAAACTAAACAATATTAACAGTGTTGCCGATGTAACAAGTGAACGATGTTTGTGTCGAAGCGCTTTGTGGGGCAGTCGCGCCTCCGTATGCTTTTTGTGTCCTTAAATTAATTGAAGGGGGCTTTTTTTTTTTTTGGTGTAATGGTCGACTACAGAATAGCCCCCAAAAAATACATGGCAAAATGTGCAGGACGTCATTTTGTCGGGTAGTAAACAATCTCCTCGCGGGCTGCGTGGTGGTAATGTGAGGCATTCCGCGGTCTGGAAGTCGAAACCTTTCGTCTGCAGCGTTGTGTGAGCATGTAACGCTGAAGGATCGGTAGAGGTGGAGGAGGGGGGGGAGTTGTGGTGAGACATGTTAGACGTTTTACTCCCCGACTATTGAAGTAAACAAAGAATAGGATTTGTTAAGCGCGCGGTCGTCCTCTCTGCAGGAAAAAAAATGGGGCTGCGTGTTTTGTTTTTTGGGATCGCGGCGCGGAGAATGGCGTGGCTCCGCCGCGCCGATGTTTCCACACAGCGAACCGACGCCGTAGTTCCCGTTTCGTTTGACTTTGGCATTGTTTGGTAAGGGCAACCGGATCAGCTCTTACCGAAGAGGGGAGGGGAAAGGTGCAACGTTGACCGCCTTTTGGGCCCCCCTGCTGTAGCGTTCATTGCAAAAGCGCCGATTTTCCAGATGATGCATTTTAGTGCCTTTTGTTTGGTGAGTGCAGCCTGTAAATACACACGTCGACCGACGCTGAGAGCAGGAGGGGGGGCCGATCCTCCTCACCGTGTAGCTCGGTGTTGTGTGTGTGTGTGTGTGCGTGTGTGTGTGTGTGTGTGTGGG